GTTTGCCTAAGGAGGCAGGTGTTGGAGGGTTGAGCGGGTGAATTGTGGCGAACTAGGACAAGGGCTACCTGAGCGCAGACGGAAAGCTGTAATACTGGTGGGTAGGGGTGACTCCCAGCACGCACCAGACACAGGCTGATCATCTCTTCACGGCTTGAGTCTTCTGCACTCTCTGGTGTGTCTTATGGTTGAAATCATGTGAAGAAGAATTTGAAAAGCTCTTTCATCCAGTCCCTGAGTTATTAGTTACTTCTCACCACTGGAGTAAAATATTTGACACAAAGAGCTGAACTGAGGTTGGCTTTCGTTCATAGTTTCAGAGGTTCTGGTCAAGCACTTTTACCCACTGGGCCATCTCACCTGCCCAACTTTAGGATTATTTTGTCATTATTTATTAAATGACTAGCTGGATCTCTTTTTTTTTTTTTAATTGAATTGCATTGACTCTGTAATACAAAGAAATACTTTGTGTTCAAATTGTTCCCTAAGAGCTGCACTGGCCCAAGTTGAGCAGGCATTGTAAATGGCATTGATTTCATATGGGTTTAAATATACTCCCTGAACTATGTGAAAATAAATTGCCATGATGTTTAAATCTCACTCCTAAATAATTAAGAATGAACTTCCTCAGAGTGAGGCACTTTTCCTGTATAGCCAGTGTTTTTACCACTCCTAGGATAATTAGCACAGATTCATCAATTAGCTGTTTAAAAGACATGCTTGTTCCTAATAAAGCTGTGTTGTTCCATTTGTTTTGGTTTCATTACCCTTCCTCTCTTGTCCTAGGCACTGAGCTATGTTGGGATGTAGAAAAAAAAAATCAATCAACAGTTCTCCTCTCCAGCCTTTCAGAGTCTCATAGAGTGGCAGAGAGACAGGCATCTAAGGTGTGCTAGGCTGGAATAAGAGTAACAGGAGCTGTGCCTGGTTCCCTTTCCTTCAAGGAGCGTGTCAGCAGAAATGAACCCAGCCCTGTGTGGTGTTCTGAGGCCTCTGCCCTGTCCGTGATCTGCCCACCTGCTTCTGATGTCCTAATCCAGAAGGGCCTGCCTCCCTCTAAAAGTATCGGGCACAGCAGACAGGATGTCCTCCCTCCTTGGATTCTTCCAGCGTCTGTACAGTGAGGTTTGGCCGGGCGCAGAGCTGTAGTGAAGAGGACCTGGAGAACCCCTGAGGAATGGGGACATTATCCTCTAGGTCAGCTGTATTAAGTTGAACACAGACTTGCTCATGAATACCAGGCATCTAATAGCTATGGTCTAATCGAGATAGGATCCATTCCTTTTTCATGTGTGTAATAGCTTGCCAAAGATTGAAATATCGGCTTGGATTTAAGGGGCCACCCAGGGACCCGGGTTCATGTTGGTTTAAGCTTTGTTGATCCTTATATCATGACATCATCCACATCGCATGCTAGGCAGCATGATAGAGAAAGGGGCAGCATGTTCCTTCCCTCTCAGGCACATTGTGGAAGCGATGTGTCTCACTTCTGTCTGTATCCCACACCTACATGCAGGAAGGGCTGAGAAAGTCTTCACTGGGCGTCCTTGTACTAAGCTAAAAATAGCAGGTTTTAAGAATGGATATTGAGGGGCAGTTTGCTGTTATACCGGCGTCTCTAAAAACATCAAAGGGACTTTCAATAAAATTAGTCTCTGAAAAATGCTCCATAAAAATGCAATTATTGCAAGGCATATATTGATTCATGCCTATAATTCTAGTCCTTGGACTGAGGTAGGAGGATTGGGCTACACAGTGGGTTCCTGGTCAGTTTAGCTGGAGTGTGAGACCCTGTATCCAAATCCCCCCAAACAGACAACAGCAAACCCAGATGTATTGTCAGTGATGTGGGGAAACATTAAACACTATCGATCTTTTTGAGTTTCATATTGCAAAGTGACATACTAAAGACTCGGTGAAGTTCTACAATTAAAAACATATGCACAGTGGTCTTCGTTCAACCTAAGAAGATCTGGCCATAAAAGTGTTTCACACTGTACTTTATTTTTCTTTGAGAAGCCCTGTTCACAATAGCTGTGGGATTCCAGAAGGTTCCTTAGTGAAACCACAGGAACATGTGGGACTCGTGTCAGTCAAGATTCAGACAGAATCAGTGACTGCATCATGTATAAAAGGATTGCCGCAGGGGTTAGATCTTATGTAATATGGGGACTAATTAGCCAGTCTGTGTAAGACTGCTGTCTGCGTGGAGCTCAGTGTCAGAGGGTAGGTGGATGTGGGGGAGGACGGTGATCTTGGGAAGGAGGAGGCAGATGGGGCTCTTGGGAGTGGATGGGGACGTAGGTCAGCCTGTCCCTGCTCCTAGTTTTGTTGTGAGACAGGGTCTCACGATGTCGCCCTGCTGGCCTGGAACTTAACCTTACACTCAGAGTTCTGCCTGCCTCTGCCTCCCAAGTGCTAAGATTAAAGGCATGGGCCACCACGCTTGGCCAGTTGCCCCCAGTGTTGGTGATTTGGGTGTCCTGTAAGAGAAGTTGATATCCGGGTTTGGAAAGATGGCACAGCGGTCAGGAGCACCAGCTGCTCTTCCAGAGGTCCTGAGTTCTATTCCCAGCAACCACATGGTGGCTCACAACCATCTATAATGAGATCTGGTGCCCTCTTCTGGCGTAAAGTTGCACATGCAGATAGAGCACTCATATACATAAAATAAATAAATAATTTTTTTTTTTTAAAGAGAGAGAAGTTGATGTTCTTTGTGGATGAAAAAACACACTTAACTTAGGAAGTTCAAGGCAGTCCAGGGGAAAGTGTCTGTAGCATCAGCAGGCCTGGCTGCTGTTTCCACCTCAGAAGGTGAGGATAACAAACAGTACAGGTAATCTGCCAGATGCCCCAACACCAGCCTTCCAGATGTGACCCCTTCCTTCATATTCACCTTCACCTTTCACCTGAAATATGCATTGAAAGGAAGTCTGAGCCTGAGCCGTGCAGTTCAGCCTACTCAGGTGAGTGCCTTCCAAAGCCAGCCCAGGCACTTACCAGATGGCAAGCATAGAATTGTTTGAGCAGTGCTAATTGTCATAGCTTTTAATGAGCACTCACCTAAATGGGCATCAGTAGTTCAGTAGATAAAGTGCTACACCCAAATGATTGAAGTGATATATTGGACACATTCTTATCGCCGTAGGCGAACAAATAATGAGCAAAAGACATAGCTGTTTGCTTTTATAAAAATTGAAAAAGGTCCAGCTGATTCAGGGCCATGGTTAGGATGGATAAGAGGATGGACTTGGAGGGCTCTCAGGAGGTACTCTGATGTGCATGTAATGTTCTTAATGCCTCTTCACCTTCCTTTGCTTCCTATGCAGGAATGCTCTCTTTGGGAAAACTTGGTGTGTTGTATAATTTATACTTAATGCTAGGCTTCAGTACAGAGTTTAGGTAAGTTAAATTTCCTCAAGTTATAAGTAGTTTCGGATTGAGAAAAAGAAACTTTTTTAGAATTAGATGAACCCCATAAAGAGTGGGGTGGAGCCTAGGGATGCAGGCTAATGTGCTGCACGAGACCTTCCGTTAGATCCCTGGAGTTTAGATGGATGTTCATGCATAATAAGGGGAAGAAAACAGGAATGTGGGGAGACTTGATGCTTAGGAAACTTACCTTGACTCTCAAACTTAACTCCCTGTGAACATGTTTTCTTATCTTTAATCCAATTGTCAGAATGTCAATTTAGCCTTTTCTGTTTTATAGAATTTTTATTCCCTGTTCATGCTTTTTTGTTTTCAGTGAATTCATTAGTTGGATAGATTTGTAATTCTTTCCTCCAAAATAGATTCTTTGAACGTGCCTTGGGCTCTTGAGTGTGGGATGAGCCTCTGTGCCGTCTGCAGTGACTTGCAGCTAGCCTCGGTGTTCTCTGATGACCCAAACGATGATCTGAAAGGGGTGGTGGCTAAGGTAGTTGATGGAGTTTTGAAAGCCTAGAAAAGTAGGAATGGAGTGCTAAGCAGTTTGCTCAAAAATGAACTCTTGCAAGTTATTTATTCTTTGGCTTTGGAAAAATTTGAATATGCACAAATCAGGACAGATTATTCCAAGATGTTCTCTCTGCCCGTAGCTTATGTGGCTAATCGTTCAGTGCTCTCATTCCCTATCTGGAGGACGCCTGTTGCTGGATTCTAAAACGTCACCTACCTTCTGTCACAGTGGTCATCCAATTGAGCTGTACCTGCTGGTCTTACTCTCTGTCACCTTGTTACCGGTAGACTCTCATCCTGTTGTGGTCAGGGATGATGTCTTATTCTTCTTCGTGTTTCCAACCCCTAGCTTAGTAGAAACCCAGAAATTAGTTATGAGTGACTGAGTCCCAAAATTCCTGAAGTGAAGAACTGATCGTTGATCCTTGAAGAAGACCACATCTGGGGAGAGATGAAAAGGGGGGTGGTATGCTACACTGCTCAGAGAAGTAGGAAAAGATCCAGAATTGCATCCTGTGAGAGAAATCAGGAGAAAGAGAGGAGTTTTGAGGAATTAGCAAACATCGCAAGGTTGTCAGTGAGAATGAGGTTTTTTGTTTTGTTGCTGTTGTCTGTTTTTGTTTTGTTTTGGTGGCTATAGATTGTAAGATCAAAAACAATCTCAAGAGATCAAGGGAAGAATATAGGATGAAGAAATGGGAGCATAAGGTTAAATAAATAAATAAATCTCCCTGTACTTAGAGAAGTGAAGCCTTGAGAAGAAGATTTGGGAGTGACCCAAATGGCACCGCCACAGGGAGTCACCCAAAGGTCACTGAATTTGAAGCAGGGGATAGGGTCCCTCCACTGCCCCGTCCTGGTCTTCTGGTGTAGTTCATCAAGAGATGGATGAGATGAGCCCATGAGCATCTATCTCCTCACTGGTTCTGGATCAGTCTGATCAAACAGCACATTTTTTTTTTTTTTTTTTTTTTTCCTGAGGAGCAGTGTGTGTTGTGCTGTGCTCTTCTCTCGGAATGATTTTTGTTTGTTTTAACCCGACCCCTCTGTTCCTACAGGAAACATGGTAGAATGGTGCTTACCACAAGACATTGACCTTGAAGGTGTTGAGTTCAAGTCTATGGCCAGTGGGTCCCATAAAGTTCAGTCTGATTTCATGTGAGTACTTCTGAATCCATTTTCTCTACTTGATCCCTCCTCTCCCACGTCCTCCAGAGCATGTTATCAAGAGGTGTCTTCAGGTAGTGTATGTACGTATTCTGTGTTTATCCAATTTCATAGCAAAAAGGGTTCCAGCTCTGCAGTTTGCAATGGGTCTTGACCCTCGCAAGCTGACAGTTCCTACAGTCGAGGTTCTGCTATCACTGAGCAATTGTGTGACCCTCATGGAGGTTTGGTTTTAGTGTAAGAGACGAGTTTCAGTTTAGTGTGGGTTAACCTAAGACATCTATATGATAAACTGGGAATACTAGCTTTAAGCAGGCTAGTTTTTAGTGTTGTATAAATGGTACATTGCAAATTTTGTGAGAAGCCAATGGATAAATTGCTTTAAGGATAATTTGTAGCTTTAATCTCTGCATTGGGATGAAACCAGGGCTAATCCAAGTGTGTGAAGGGGAAGGAAGTAAAGTGTCAATCAACCTCATTGATGCTGTCAGAGGCCAAGGAACTGAGAGAATCGGGATTTTTGCTGAGAAAACAGACTGAGTTTCAAAGGAGCCTGGACATCGCCTTGGTTCTGGCTCTCCCATGGAAGCTGTTAGTTGTGCCAGAGAGCATACCAGGGTCTGTGGCTGTGAGCATTTGAGTGACATGCCTGTAGAGACCACATGCTAACTCTCGCCCTTGACTCTGGGATGGCCAGTTCTGGAGTCTTGGAGCCTGGGCAATCCCTGGGAGATTGGATGACTTCTTTTACAGCCGAACTTGGTTAGTTGGAGCTCTGAACTATTGGAGCTATTTGGGCCGAGATTGCATTGCAAAGGAAAAAAAAGCAAAGATATGTCCTCTTCCTAAACTGGAGCCACAGTGCATATTTGGTCTGTTTTAGCTATTTTCGGAAGGGGCCCTTCTTTGGCCTGGCCTGCTTTGCCAATATGCCTGTGGAGAGCGAGCTGGAGCGTGGCGCACGGATGAAGTCTGTGGGTATCCTCTCTCCATCCTACACCCTGCTCTACCGCTATATGCACTTTCTGGAGAACCAGGTTCGGTAAGTGGCTTCCAGACATGGCTTTTGTATGTTGGGGGAAGTGGCGGGATCTGTGAGCTGGTGCCTCTGCACTGAGTCCCTGGACCTGGAGGCTGTGGGCCAGGAGTACAGGTGTCCTTCCTGTGGCATCTGCAGCTCTGGGTCAAGCCTCAGCCAAGGCTCCTTTCTTTCAGCAAATGTATTACAAAATAATTCTTTATCCTATAATGAAAGCTGAGGAAGATATTTGCTTTCAGCTTTTATTAATACTCTCATCAACTTTAATCAAATTTATTTTAATCAGACATGAACGTGATCTTTGTTTACACTTAGCTGCTAAACTTACCTTTTTTCCCAGGTAGGCAGGTGGAATTTCAAAATTGTTTTGGGTCAAATCACTTATTATTTGGGGTAATAAGAGAATATGTAACAGAAGCAGAAAATTATTAGTTACTAATTATTATTAGTCTCTCTATATATATACATGTATATATGTATATGTGTATATATATATGTGTGTATATATATATATATGTATATATATATATATCATAATTCAGGTAACCTAGTTGAACTTCAAACAATGCTGGTGAATTTTATATCTAGTCCTAGAAGCACCATTAAAATTTTAGCCTCTTGTCTGCTGTGTATATTTGTGTGCTTTGATAAAATATGCTTGACAGGTGGGCACAGTGGTGCATTAGCCCAGGAAATAAAGGCTTTCAGTTTACATTAGTAGCAACATAGCAAGACCTTATGTGTCACAATTAAAACATATATAAGTGTGTGTATAGTGTGTGTATGTGTATATATATACACACACACTATACACACACACATATATATGTACACACATATACACACACATAGTGTATGTGTACTTGGCATATATATAAACTATTTTATTCTATGCATTATTTATTCATTCATTCATTTATTCATTTTGAGTTAGAATCGTGCTTTGTAGCCCAGGCTGGCCTTTTGATTTGCAGTTGTATAGGATGCCAGACTTTTTATACAGGTAATGGGATGTGAACTGCGATCCTCATGATTGTGCAGCCATTACTCTGAACCACGGAGCCACCTCTACAGCTCCCCTGGGTCATAGTTTAAGTTGATTGGCTTTAAGCTAGTCCGTGTTCTTTGTCCATCCTTCTTTCCTTCATTTTCATGGTACTCCCTGTATCTTACATTTTATCCTTAGTGTCTGGCTCCCCCCATCTGCCCAAGAATATTCTGGAGTGAGCAAGAGTCTTAACTGCTTTTGGGTACAGAGGAGTTGGCTTTCCCAGCCTCACGAGATCTAAATCTCGTGATTTTAACGTAGTGAATTTTAACATAGATGACCAGATTTCTCTTCCTGAACAGTGATTTTTCAATCACTTTCTTCTTCAGCTTCTAAGCCAATGGTTCTTGATTCCGTAGCAACTCATTTTCTTGGGTACTAACTTCGGCTTTAGTTAAGATAGAAGCTAAGTTCCTCTAACAAAGAGGAGACCCCAACGTACAGCGGCTCAAACGAGTCAGAACCCCAGCTTTGCAGCCTGGCTGTCCCAGACCACATGGGAAGAAAGGCTCCTGTGTGGGTGGCGACTGGAGCAGGGCCTTCCGTCTTACCCATCTCCTAGTGTGACAGTGGAAAGTGACTCACTGTTATCTGTGACATTTCAACCAGGAAGGAGAGAGACTGATGCAAAGATCACAACTTGAACACAGCATCACTTCTGCACATTCCGTGGGCTAGTTGTTGGCCACTGGCCATACCCAACCGTAGGAAGTCTGGGGACATGTAGTTCCAGAAGGGTGATGTCATCGAAACTTTGGAGGTTCTATGTACTAAAGGAAGAAGAAAGCAGTCTCTACCAGTGTCGTGAACTCAGACTTTCCCCAACTGTCCTGTCCATCCAAGAACTCTATTAATCACTATTAATTTCTCATGTATCTTCTAAAATTGATACTTATGTATGTATGTATACAAATACATATCCGTATTGTTCTCCTTTATACAAGAGAAAGCAAGTTATCTATTCCCGTTCTGCCCTTTCATGTAACAGTAGAGGAGCTCTCACATGGGTACACCGAGAGCTGTATCGTTTTCCCTTGCTGATTAAAAAGGCTGGAACAGAGATGAGACTTTGATAACAGGGCATGAGGAAAGAAAAGAGTCAGGTCTGGGTGGGACAGTGACTGTTGTGTAAGTTAACTAGACTTGATTTCTTTACTTCCTAATCTGCATTTAAATTCATTCTGACTTCTGATGTCCCATGCTGACGTATTAGTATTTTATCTACAATTGTTACCTTCACTATCTCTCCAGCTGTAGATCTGAGTTCAGTCACCACAACCCACGGAAGAGAAAAGCCAGGTGTGATGGTGCATGCTTATAATCCCAGCACTGGGGAGGTGGGGAGGAAGATCCCTAGGGCTCACTAGCCAGCTATCCGAGCCTACTGGGCAAAATCCTGGGCCAGTGAGAGACCTTGGCTCAAAAAAAAAAAAAAAAAAAAACAAGAATCCTCAGAAACCATTCCTAAGGTTGACCTCTGACCTCTACCTATATTATCGAACACACTGTCGTGGTAACCTCACAGCATGTCATAATAGGTAACTCATGATTTATTTAACCATTCCATTATCATTGGGCTTTAAGATCGTTTCCTTTTTTTTTTAAATCTTTTTTTGGTTTTTCGAGACAGGATTTCTCTGTATAGCTTTGCGCTTTTCCTGGAACTCACTTGGTAGCCCAGACTGTCCTCGGACTCACAGAGATCCGCCTGGCTCTGCCCGCGATGAGTGCTGGGATTAAAGGCGTGCGCCACCACCGCCCGGCTGTTTCTTATTTTTTGCACCTATAGACAAGAGCATCTTTTGGGTAAATTCACATTCACGAACAGTTCTTTAGGGCAATTTCCTAGAAATGGAATCATTGGGACCAACTGCCGTGTACAGTTTGACATGTCTGCTACACCTTCAGAATGGTGATGGTACTTTCCTCATGAACCCGCCGTAGATGAGAATGCCTGATTTTTTTTGTATTGACTAAGCCCAGTGACAGACCGGTTCAGACCAGTAAGAACTCCACCAGAGTGGCAGAGTGTGATAGCTGACAGAGCATCTCTGATCCTTACAGTGGACGAACTACTGCAGAGTATGGTAGGGAACAGCAACCGTCTCTGTCCTGGGCATCTGCATAACCTCATGTGGCTGATCAGTGCAGGGGCTGTGGGCCTAAAGAGCATCCCACCCAGCATGGCTGCTCCTACAGGGGGATCCTTGATCTGGTTCCCACAGGAGGCGCTTCACAGCAGCAGCACACACTGAGTCACTTAGCCCCGCTGTTGAGAGCAGGACTCCTGCCTGCACAGTTTCCACGGGTGGCATGAGACGCAGTTCCATGCAGTAGTTTTTAATTTTCCTGCCCTTACTGAACCTCATCATCATCATTGTCGTCTCCATCTTTGAAAACCACCTTGTCTTCTGGCACTCTGTTGCTCTAGTACCCTTTACATTCTCTTGGTGGTGTGGCTTGATGATCTATTACAAAGTCTCCAGTGTGTTTAAACTCTGAGGCTTCCACAGGACAGTTGGATAGCGTTCATCTCTGAATTTCTGTTTAGGCCCGAGCTTCTGTCTCCTGTTCTACATTGTCTGTTACCGCCTTGTTCTGTCCTGGTAGGCAGGGATACCTTAGGCTGTTAAGGACAGAGTCCTGACATTAGCTGTTTTCTTTTTACATCTACACATTTCGCTCTGTGTCGGGGAATGGGATCAGGCTTAGTAGAAAAACACTTTACCTGCCGAGCCATTTCCATGGCCTTGTCTCTAGCTTCCTGGCTAAAAGACTCATAGTACCTACCGACTTTTTCTGTAGAATCTTGGTCCAAATGCAGCGTTGACTGTAGTCAGAGTGGAAAGACCAGCAAATGAGTAGCAAATCAGCAAAAAGAAAATGAAGGTGCATTGTTTAAATTACCTTGGATAAATTACCTCTTTAAGACAGAATATATAGATTCTCCATGGGCTTTTAAGGGAAAACAGATCTTAACTCAAACACATTTGAACTTTACCTACTCATCAAACTGGACACATTTCCCTGAAGAGTACCCACGACCCTTTTGCCTGCTCAGAACAGCTCGCCAGACCTTAGCCACCAAGGATTTCCTGTCCGGCCCAGGAGCATTTCTGAGATCGACAGCAGTTGCTGTAAGCACTCTTATGCTTGGTGATCACAGCTAACATATGGCTGCCTCCTGAATCCAAGCTTCCCAGACCCCTAAAATTAGAGAGAGGTACTTACTTTCAGTAATTATTTTCTAAACTTTTCTTTGGGAGGAAGCAAGGCTCCACTGTGTAATCCAGGCTGACCTTGAATTTATGATTCTCCTGCCTTAGCCTGTTCTTGGAGTGTAGGTATACACTGTCACACACAGCTAGTAATACATGCATGTACACACAAACACACACATACACTTTTTGGTTTTTTTGAGACATGGTTTCTCTGTTTAACAGCCCTAGCTATCTGGGAACTCTCTCCGTAGACCAAACTGGCCTTTAACTCACAGAGATCTGCCTCCCAAGTGCTGGGATCAAAGGTGTGCACCACCACGCCCAGCAGTAATCTTTTTTAAGTATTATGATGATGCGATGTTACTGCTTTTAATACATACAGACTTGTGCACAAAGTCCCTTGCCCTCACTTTGTCCCTGAGTGCTCTTAGTCATTCTGAGCAGTTTGAGTTACAGCGTGGAGTAGTCTCCTGGCGGGGTCGCTGGATGGGAGGAGCAGGGTTTGCCTGTTTGTAGTCAGCATTGTTTCACCTATAATTGATGTCCCTTTTTCTCCCCAAAGCTTCTCTTTAATTGTTTTGTGGTCATTGGAAAAGAAACCAGGGTTGAGAGGGCTCTTTATTCATCCTTCTATTCATTTGCTGGGACAGTCTAACAGGATCTGTCATGGGGTGCCTTAGAAGAAAGAAACTTCCTGTCGAATAGTTCAGAGACTAAGGCTCAGAAACCAAGTTGTCCGTGTCAGCAGGGTTTCTTCCCACATCTCTCCTGGCTCCATGCTTTGCTGCCCGTCTCTGGGTTCCTTGGCATCTGCATCCCCTCAATGTCTGCCTTCATCTTCACATGTCTACCCCAAGCCTGCGAGTGTATGCGAATTTCCCCTTTTTAAGTCACACCGAATCAGGGTTCCCTCAAAATACCTGGCTTTAACCTATTGCCTTGGTGAAGATCATCCAAATAGAGCCGATACTGGTCCTGAGGGAATGGTACCAAGGTAAAGGCCGAGATTCCAGCATAGCTCTGGGGAGGGAACAAAAGTCAACTTCTGACATTTCCATTAAACATGATGCCTTCACTTGGAGGCAGGATTCTGCATTGTCCAAATGCTCTAGGACCTCAATGGCATTCATTTTCTTGATCCAGGGAACGGTTGACAAGACTTTTGGCCTGAGCACAGGGTGTAACCGAGGAGACTGCAGGGAGTGTGTGTGTGTGTGTGTGTGTGTGTGTCTGTCTGTCTGTCTGTCTGTCATCTGTGTGTGTGTGTCTGTCTCTGTGTGTGTGTGTGTTTCTGATTCATTTGGATTATTACTTGATGTGAAAGTGTGAGCCCCTAGTGGCCTTCAGTCATTACTTTTCCTTTCTTTGGAATACTAATAACAGTACCAAACAGAAGCATGCTCATATTCTACACAAAGCAGAGCAGCTGTAGGCAGGGAGTGTGTGGTCGTCCAGGTTATCTCTTCCCACAATAAACAGTGCATGAGAAGCACATGTGGCCAGAGCAGTATAGCTTGCTCACGAAATAGACACTCAGCACAGCCTGTTCTTTTGAATGTATTTCATGCCGACGAGGAGTTTCAGGCCTCATGTTTGAATTTTGCATAAAGATCTTCTCTCATACTAATGGGGACTTGAAGGTAACCTTCAGGTGCAGACCTCTTGAGTACTTTAGCTCTTTGGGTAAGAGATGCGCAGTTGTGCTGGGCAGAGCTGCTCACTGTACACGTGTGTTACACAGACACCAGCTGGAAATGCCGGGACATTACTCTCATCTGGCTGCATTCTATGAAGACAAGAAAGGGGTTCTCCATGCTGGCCCCGGAAGGGGTGGCAGCTTACCGCCCGTCTACTGGCTGCCTTCCATCCACCGCTACATGTACCCTGAGATGAAGGTGAGGCTGGCCATTCTCTCACATATCTGGGAACAGTTGTTGTAGATTAGTTTTTAAATGGTAAGGAAGTTATGCCTCAGCCTTGTGCAGAATTCTGCTTTTGATAGAATTGGGTTAAATATAAGCATTTGGGTTCATTTAAGCATAAGGCAAATTACCTTAAATGATATGCCGTCTAGAGCCTTCTATAATCATAGAAAGCCATATATGCTGGACCACTCACTTGTGGTGGACTCCTAGGATGGAGGATGCCCTTGATTGTGTTGGTTGCTTCTGCTACTATAAAGCCAAACATCCAAACTAATGATGAAGACTCTGATGAACAGACAAAGTATTTCTTAGCTATGTTATTTTGACATTATTTTATTTGGAAATTTTGTAGCATCCTTTGCACTGGTACTAGCATGTTTGTTTAACATTAACAAGAAATCTGGCCGTGCAGTAGGTGTTCAGAAGATATAAAAGGGTCTAAGAATATGAATCTCTGCTTCCTCTTCCTTCTCCATCTCCTCCTGTGACTGGGCACAAGATACTTCAGTGAAACTTAGGACTCCTCTTGTAAAGAAATAATGCCTGGGTTTATGGGAGAAGGCTTAGTTAGGATTTCTAATGTATGAAGAGACACTATGATCATGTAATTCTTATAAAGGAAAGCATTCCATTGGGGCTGGCTTAAGTTCAGAGGTTTAGACCATTGTCATGGTGGGAAGCATGGTGGCAGGAAGGGAGACACTGGCCCTAAAGAGACAGACACTTGCCTTAAAGAGACACTTGGGCTTCTTAAACCTCAAAGGCCACCTCTAACACTAATCCAACAAGGCCACCTATTCCTGCAAGGCCACACCTAATAGTGTCACTTCCAATGAGCCTATGGGGGGCCATTTCCATTCAAACAATTACAGGACCGGTGTTGGTCACTAAAGCATTAGGCCATGTGGAAAAGAAGGGGTGCTAATTCCAGACCAGTTGATTGGGGATAGGGGGAGCATGATTCTAGTTTCTCAGCATATCCTATGAGTTAGGTATTCTGCTAATTTATTAATTTATCAATACCTGTTGCAAGACTCTTTTAAAGTAAGGTTGTTTGGTTTTTTGTTTTATTTTGTTGTCTTGTTTTCTATTGAAAGCAATTGAGGCTTATCGATGAATGGTTCAGTGAGTTGCTTTAGGCCTTACAGCTAGGAGACCAGGAAAATCTAAACACAGGACTGTGCCAAAGCCAGGGTCCACTCCCTACCCTCCTTTACTGCTTTTGCAGAGATGTAGACAAGAGAACACAGACATGCTGATGGGCCAAGAGCCAGTTACTTAAATGAGATTGAGTTTTTATGTCATTTGGCCATAAGGAAAAAAAAGTAGTAATAAAGATTTTATGAGCAAACCAAGAGAGTATGTTAGGTATTTAAAAGTAATTCAAGATGGGAACTCAGTAGTGTAGGAGTCAGAAGGCTGAAGGAGCAAGCAGAGAACACAGTGACCCCTTAGATTAGTAATCTCAGACAATAGTTTCTACCCTGTGTTGGCCAGCTATTGCTGCCTAACAAATCATCCAAGATTTAAAGCTTGAAGTAGTGCGTGGATATGATCCCACAGTTTCTGTGAATAAGGACTCCAGTCATGGCTTAGCTGAATCCCAGATTTAGGATCTGCTATGAGAGACGTCAGTTAAGGTTTCAGCCAGGGTTGGAGTCTCAGCACAAGACCCAACTGGGCAAATACCCATTTTCCTAAGTTCATATGGGAGCTGACAGGATCAGGTTTCTTCAGGGATGCCACACTGAAGGCCTCAGTTTTCCCTCAGTTCTCCACCATGTGGGACATTCCAGCTTGGCAGTCTGCTTCAACTAGATCAGCAAAAAGAGACTCTTAGCAAAATTAAGTCAGAATTCTTTGTAACCAAATCCCAGAAGTGAAAGGCCTGCAACGTAGCTGTAGTCTCTTAGTTGGAAGCAAGTTCCCCAAAAGGAAGAGGGGGTTGCACAAGGCTGTAGATACCAGGGCCACCTTCGATGTTGCTTGCCATATTTAGGGCCGGGGCACAAGGAAAAGTGACATCAGGATCAGAGCCCTGGGCGCAGGAAGGAGGGTCGCAGCCTGTGCTTGGACCTTTGAGGGAAGCACTGTGCCTCTGAGGCCAGGACTTCTTCAGTGGACAGCCCAGCTGTGCTGAGAGCTGAGAGGCTGGAAGCTGGTGAGAGAGGTGCTCACTGCTGCTGGAGAAGTGTTAGCAGCAGCAGCTAGGCATTGAAGGAAGCCCTCCCTTCCTCCTGAAGGTGTGGCTTCCCGTTAGAAGAACATAACAAGAGACTAGGTGGCCCGGGAGTCCCAGAGACATAGCGTGAGAATTTCCTGATCCTGTTATGTGGCTGAGAGACAGTTGGTAAGAAGCACAGGCTGATCAGAAGGATTGGGGGAGTGTATTGAACTGAACCCTGTCAAGCCCCATGAATGTTACTCAGCTATCACCAAACCCAGGGGAAGGTGGCCAACATCTGACCCGAATGTTCCTGGCTTCCTCTCCCCAGGGGCAAAGAGGGACAAAAGAAGAGAAAAGATAATCGCCACAGGCTTTTGCCCCATTAAAGGCAACTCATTAGCAGACCTGTCAGACCCTCCCAGATGTGATAGAAAGAAAGGTACTTATATAGGCTAAAGATACAAGTGGGTGGGGGGGTCTCCTTTTCCAGAAAACAGCATGTCAACAATTAAAATAAGTAAGTGTTCCTTTTGTTTAAGCAGCCCCACTGCTGGGATTTCCCCTTTAGATATGAATACAACAGAATTGTGTGTGTATGGGACCTGAGGCACCAGCATTCCCTCATCTCTAGGCCCTTTTTTTTTGGTTTTATGAGACAGGGTTTCTCTGTGTAGTTTGGGTACCTGTCCTGGAACTCGCTCTATAGACCAGGCTGGCCTCGAACTCACAAGAGATCTGCCTGCCTCTGCCTCCTGAGTGCTGGGATTAAAGGTGTGCACCACCACTGCTCGGCAAATAACTTCATTTATTTTTATTTTATGTGCATTGGTCTTTTGCCTTGCATGTATGTCTATGTGAGGGTGTTGGATTCTGGAATTACAGACAGTTGTAAACTGCCATGTAGGTGCTGGGAATTGAACCCGGGTCCTCTGGAAGAGCAGTCAGTGCTCTTTACCACTGAGCCATCTCTCCAGATCCTCATCTCCAAGCCTTTATATACACTCATTGTTCTGCCAGAACAGTGTCCTGATTCATTTGCTGTATTGAAGCTTAGATGTCACTTCCTTCAGGAAGCCGTCTCTATCTCCCAGAATGCAATCGAGCACCTTCCCGTCTGACCCCAACAGCTGCTGCCCTTCCCCACCAGGCTGTCACCTCAGGCTGTATTCTAGCTGCTTTCTGACCTGCTTGGCCACCAGTTAACTGTCCCAGTTGGGGCCTGGGTGTCTTTATTCATTATTGAAACTAGAATACTTAGTAGTTTGGCACAAAGTAACTACTCAGGGGATAGTTCTTGAGTTAATGGCCGTGTGCATCCACAAATGAACAAACAAGATAAGAATTTAGAATAACTTACTCTAGGACACACTTGCACAACCCCGTCAGGTCAGGTCTCTGTGCGGTGCAGGCACATGCATGGCAAGGACCTAAAGGTGGCAGAAGGAAGGGACGGAAGGAGGGGCTGTGCTCTGGCTCCCTTGCCTGGCTGCCATTTGACTTGGCAGAGATCTGACCAGCCTTGATCAACTAGGCCCTCTCTCCCTGGTGATCGAATGAAGTGCACAGGAAACAGGCCAAGAGTCACAGCGGTCATGCTCCGTGGAGGATGGCCTCGCATGCAGCAGGGGGCCGGTGAATGGTGTCAGGGTAGAGGTTGTAGGCTGCTTTGGAAAGGAAGATCCCTGGTCTAAGCAGTCCGTCAAGGCTCTGAAGATTGAGGACAGCCAGTGGAGACAGAGTGCAGGGACTTAGGTCACCCCCACAGCTCTCAGCTTGCTAAACTCACTGTGTTCTTTGGGTAGCTGCCTATCTTCAGAACTGCTCTAGCCTGCCTGCCTTATGGCAGATGAGCCCTCTTATGCCAACAACTAAGCATCTAAGTGGCTTTGGTTTGAAGCCTGTTCTGCCAGTGACACTGGTGTCCTCAATGCCATGGTGTTCCTAGCTCTAGTTAGTCATTCGTGTTTTGTCTCGGGTGGTTCTTAAGCCAGGTGAGGTAACCCATGGTCTGGTCTCCCTGTTTTAGGGACTAGGAAAGCAGACTGGAAACATAGGCTCACTTTCCCAGGCTTCTGTGTTAGGAAATGGCAAAGGCAGGAGTGTAATTTCTCAAGCTTATGCTCTGGGCCCCTAGCACAGTCCTTCCAGAAGGTAGCCCTGCAGGAGGGCGGCTCCCTGCAGTTAGCATTCCAAGGAAGTTGGTTACAGTTGGCGTATACCAGAGGTAGCCATGAGACCCTTGGACCCTCCCTGCCTGTGACTACTGCAGATACCTTGCTGTGCACAGTAGCCCCCAGGTCCCTGCAATTTCCGTGTTTGCTCATCCTTTTATTATGTACGGTGCTCAATGTTTTTGTGTTGAATGTTCTCATTGAGGCATACTGTATCTTCAAGGGAAGTTTCTAAAAGTAAATACTTTTTAAAAACTCCGGCCTTTGAAACCCCTGTACCGGCACACACATGCGAGGGACCAGAAGAGAGCTTGGATCCCTTGGTTCTGGAGTTGCGGGTGTTTGTAGGATGCCCGTTACGTAGTGCGTGATCTGAACTCCTGTTGTCGTGATTGTACATTGAGCGTGCTGAGCCACTGAGCCATCTCTCCAGCTTTCAGACTGCTGAGTTCTAAATAATAAAATCCAGCGTTTCCTCTGCACTGCTCTTAAATTCAAACTTCATTCGGTCAGGGGAGCTGACGCATCAGAGAAACCAGCCACCAGGTACCGTTTTGTGTGGAGGCAGCTATCTCGTAATGCTTGATGGTACATTGGCGTTTTCACGGAAGGCTGTTTCACAGTGACAATCTCTAACAAGCTATCCACCTGCCCTTGTGTGTTTCCAGATCACACACCCGGCTGGCTGCATGTCTCAGTTTATTAAGTTCTTTGGAGAACAAATCCTCATTCTCTGGAAGTTTGCCTTACTCCGAAAGCGCATTCTGATATTTTCTCCCCCTCCTGTGGGCGTCGTCTGCTACCGAGGTAACTAGGAGCCCAAGTGAGCGGCTCTGCCTAAATGCCCAGCTCGTATGCTCTAGTCCTTCGGTCATTAAGCATGATAGGAGGGGTTTGGGCCATATCGGTGGGATCAAGGCTTCTGGTTAGATTTGTATTTTAGAATGTGGAGTCTGGAGGCAGTGAAGACGGATGGAGTGTCACCTTTGTATCTTGGGGTGAGATGAGGTAAACTGCATCAGCTTGACTGAAGTATGCAGGAGTAGAGTTGAGAAAGAGTTTAGGATGAGGCTACCAAAATGGGGGGCCAAGGAGTGGTGGGGAGTTAACTTGGGTGTGTACTGCTTGAGACATTTCCAGGGAGGTGTACAGCAGGCACTTGTGTGATTGGGTCAGGACCTGTGGGGAATAGTTGGGCTTGGGAAGAAGGTTTGAGAGTGACGTTAAGCCCATCTAGTAACCTTGGGATGGATGGCATCTCCTGGAGAGTGGGGAACGAAGGTGTCGGGTCTAAGAGGTTGGCAAATAGTGGTGTAAGGGCAGGAGAGTGAAGGAGATGATGGAGAGAGGAGGACCAGAGGATGGGAGGTTCCAGCAGGCCACGGCATTGAGGAAGGGGAAGGTCAGCAGAACCAAAGTCTTAATGCAAATTCAGGCCAGTGAGAGAAATTCAGAAAACATCTATTCGATGATAAATTGCTGGTGAGACCTTCAGGATATCAAGTTCTGCAGTGGGTCCCTCAAAGATTTTCCAAGACCACCTGGTTACAGGATAGATAGTGTCAACAAAGCCCTCCCCCAGCTCCTGAGACAACTGCCCATTGCCCTAGCAAAACACTTGAGGCTGGGAATTCATAAGATGTTTGGGGATGCTGGCATCTGGTCATCCTCTGAAGGTCCCATGGTGGCAGAGATCACATATGAAAGAGGCGCATAGGGGAGTGAGCAGACTCACATTTTAGCATGCTTTAGAGATACCTGACTCGGTGTCTCCAGACTATGTAAGATGGAATGCCATCTTAAAGATCCTGCATCTCTCAGGACTGCTACACTGGGGACCAGGCCTCAATGTGGGGTTTGGCAAGAACAACAAAATGTAGCAGCCTCACTGTTGGGAGGTACTGACCTGCTCGGTCTTGGGTGGATGGAGGAGAGGGAACAGGAGGGAAAATTCCTCACTTCTGTTGTCCCCCCCTGCAGTGTACTGTTGCTGTTGTCTGGCCAACGTCTCACTGCCTGGCATTGGGGGCACCATCCCCGAGTCGAAGCCTTTCTTCTATGTGAACGTGGCTGACATTGAGAGCCTGGAAGTCGAGGTGTCCTATGTAGCCTGTGAGTACGGGGCCCTCCCCTCCTCCTCTCCCTGTGTCCAAACCCTCTCCTCTCAGAAATAGGCTCTTGGACTCTTGGTCCTGTAGTAGCGTTGGGGTGGCTGTCTGTGTGGCCCCTTGGGGTTACCTCATTAATCCTGGGCTCCACAGGCACCACGGAGAAGATATTTGAGGAGAAGCGGGAGCTGTACGATGTCTACGTGGATAACCAGAATGTAAAGACACACCATGACCACCTGCAGCCCCTGCTGAAGATCAACAGCGCAGACCGGGAGAAGTACCGCCGGCTCAATGAACAGAGGTGAGAAGGCGGCTGGTCCTCCGTATCCACGCCGCGTGTGCCAGTGAGTGCAGCCCCGGCCAGTGCTGTGCTCTAAGGACCAGAGACTCGGAGGGCAGTCAGCAGCACCGTCCTATGCAGGATGGCTCTGTGAAATCTAGGAAAAGCCTACTCTGCCACCCCTTTCCTTGAGCGTTCCTAAAAGCAGGGGGTGGGGAGCAGGGGCTGGAAGTCAAGGGGAGCTCTGTGCATTAGGAGTCCGACATTCCCGTATACTGCCCTCACTGCAGGGTAGCACACACAGGGGTGGTTTCTGATTGGCTCGAGAATCTGAAACTCTGTGAAGCAACAGTTACAACGCTAGCTTTCAGAAACACCCCAAAAGACCTTGTTTGGATCAGCCCATATATGTTTGGAATAGCCATTTATTGAGCATCTACGCAGTCAGGACCCATTAGGAAACTGGTGTATGCACACTGTCTGGTGGAACTCTGAATTCTTTGTTTATCCTAGGAGAGAAAGAGTTAGCCTATCATCCCCATTCAGCGCACAGTCAGGCAAGACAGCCACTTGACTAAGGCGGGGTACTATTGCACAGATCCTGCCTGGGTTTGAGCCCAAGCTTTGCTCATTCTCTTCCCAGTCTCTGGCCTGGCACCGACTGCCTGGTGGGGCTTCCTGAGAGAGATGGGCGTTGTTGATGCTCGGTTGCTGCCAGTCATGTAGTTGGATGCAGGAGCCACTAGAGTCTGATCATGTTCTCCCTTCTCACAGGCAGATGCTCTTGTACTCCCAGGAAGTTGAGGGAGACTACAACCCTTGTGAAGAAGACCTCTTTGTGCTGTGAGTTGGCCTGGGCAGCAGCCGTGGGGCTCTGGGAATCCTTTCAGTGCTGACTTCCATGGACAGACACCTTGCTTCCCTCCCATGCAACCCACTGCCACTGAGGATGCCCTTTATTATTCTCGGGGCTCTCCGTGCTCTAGGCTGAGAGGTAGCCCTAGTTCTGCAAACCCAGAAGGGTAAACCCAGAGTGGCTGAAGAGATGGGGGCAGGTCCTAGAGAAAATGAGGACCCTGAACATGCATCTTGTTGAACATTTGCATCCAGAATGTCACCACATAGCTGTCCATTTCTCCACCCTCTCACTCCTTGAAAGGACCAGTTCCTTGTGCCGAGTATTATGAGATCGTGTGGACATTCAACCCTTGAATCGAGAGTAATCTCTTTTCTCTAGATCCGGTAGCCATGGAAAGGGCTGGCTCCTATCAACACCCATTGCATTCAAGCAACCACAGGAAGTCCTGTTTCAGAATTAGAGCAGAATTGTAATTGAAGTAGAAACAGATCTTCCTGAAAGCCCTAGCTTTGATGGAGGCATCCTCACACAGGTTTATCTTGTTTTGGAGTCCACTTTCTAATGGACACACACTGTGTGTATGGGCAGACACAGTCTTGTCAAGGTGTGACAAAGAAGTCATTTTGTTGTCTGTGGAAGGCCCAGAACCCCAGAATAGTGTGGCCAAATTAATGCCTTTCTAAACAGCTCATTTACTCATTCAGCATGGCTGTAAAGCTGTGACTTTGAAATACTGTTTTAATATATCCTCTTGCTCCAAGGAGAGGGGACCCCCCCCCCCCCGCCCCCCGAGTGCTGGGAGCTGGGTCATTCTCAGTGAGGGCACTTTTCTCCCCTTTCCACAGCACGGGCTTCAGAACTGCCC